TAACATGCGATAACACGACATAGTGTATGCTATATACATATAAATATACAATATACACTCACTAGCTGTATCATATACCTAAGTAGGTACAGTAGGTACACGCATGTTATAAAAGCGGCGTCAGACTGCAACAACCGGAAGATTGCGGCGTGACCAATCAGCCGCACGTTTGACTCGCTGGCGCCCGGACCTACCGACGATGGACCTATATAACCGTATTTTCGTATTACTGTCGTCGGTGTATTACCTACATAGTTGTGTACTACACGGTGTGTCGTTGCTCATAAATATATATGTTTATATATAATATATTATAATTTATATTACACAAATATAGAAAAGTTGGCTCACGCTTTTTATTTAAATATAAATTACAATTTATTACAATGTGATGCTGCACAGATACTTTTTACAGAAGGCGCTCGCGTAATAGCACGCGAGTACGCCGCTGCGGCGTCGCATTGACTTCATGCACCGACGTTAATGTCTCCGATAAATGTAATCGATAATATATATCATCATTATAATATTATACATACCACCATCGTCGTTTGGGTCAACCTCCTCTACTCGTCATGTCCGATCGCGTACCTATTATAGTTGTAAGTCCATATTTATTAACGATAAATTTCTAAAATGATCGCGTAAAAATTCGATTTGTTCGAACATTGACTTTAGCGATATTCGTCTACGTGCGTATCACTATGTTTCACACGTGAGATATTGCAGTACATGTACATCGCGCGCCTAATCTGACCGTTCGATATATTTGCAACTATCAGTAGATATACGTAGGTTTTGAGCACACGAAATACACACAATGTAAATTTGTTTGTTTAATACGGAAAGTCTATATTATTGTCGTGTCGTGCATTATAGATGTGTAAATCTCGTTGCATACACATATCGTACAATCGCCTTTATCGGGAGTAGACGTCCACTTCATCATCGTCATCATATTCACACTTCGTACCCTCTGGTTGTTGTTATACGTTTGTTGTGTATAAATATAAAATGACCTTTACGTCAGGTTGTAAAAGCTCAATTTCGCAATAATACTATTATTAACTTATTATTATTATTATTATTAGCCTCTTAACGAAAATGAACGTTGCCAAAACTTATCGATTCAATTCATTTACGCACAAATTCACGATTTTCTATAATATTTATAATTAAATAAAAATATAATACATGTACAATGTACATCTATAAAAATTCAATGAGAAATAGAGATAAATCTAGTTTTTACACTTTACAGTAGCGTGCTATTATAATAGCAATGCTTTAATCAAAAATTTTATAGTTTTTTATTAGATATAATTACTTTGTTCATATCAAAAGTGGCCTAATTTCTTTTAAAATTGGGTACCTACATAAAAAAAACTTATTTTTCAAAAACATCGTAGATAGGCCGTAGGGAGTAGATGATCAGTATATTCTTATTAGTATCTCTCATTCATATAGCCTTGCGTAGCGACCGATACTCCCAGTCAGCAAGCACAAATCAGTTTGGAATGCGTCCTCAACTTGAATCCCACAGCAAATGTGACTATAAGACCAGATTGCAGCAGCCGCGACAAGGACAGGAGCGCGCGCAAGAAGGGCGATTGGAAATTCCAGTAAAACACAATGAGACATTGTGGGAACGGGCACAAAAGGACGTCCTTCAGTTGCAATGTCTTGTATGTGTATATATGTATAATAGTCCTAGTCTATAGGTGTCTATAATACATGTATAATGTGCATACTATATATACGCCTGCAATAGCGGACAATAATATTTTTTTCGAGAAAAAAATAACAGAAAAGGGAAAACACTTTTTTCAAAAATCTTATTGCGTACTATATTGTGCAATTAATACAGTCGTTTACTCCGTAATTCACTGCAATGCATGGGTTACCTATTGCTGCTGCAGCCGGCTACTTTTAGAGTCGCTTGCAGCTGCCGAAAATCTTGTCGATCTGAAAAAAAATACCCTCATAAAACAAACACAATAATAATAATTATTCTATCTTTTTGCCGAATGCGCCATAGGGAAATTAATAATTATTATAAAATATCATAGTCTACCGTTTTATTATTGTATTTAACCGTTTCGTTATTATTGCTATATTATAATTTTTTTCTACGAAATGCAAAGCACTTATACTATACTTTGTACGGTCTATACGGCGGCCGTGTCATTTACAACCAAGGGAACCACACCTGTATATTATCAGTAACCAGGTGTCAGCGTTTTTTTCTGTTATTATATTATAAGTATATGTGTATTTTTTTTTTTTTTTTTTTTGTTGTTGTTTCCGGCAACCCGATTTTATTATTCGAGTGCAAAAGGTTAGCTGAAACCCAACTCCTATTGTTTTTCGAATAATTTAAAACGAAAAACATCGATCACTACAAAAGTCAGACTGTTCAGTCTGACGACCTATTACGTTTGTCGGGCGAGACACCGCCAACATTGCAGTAATATGTGTAATATACTATACAGTCATATGGTTATAGGTTATTAAACCACGCACTAACATAACGCTGGTTTCACTCGAAATTTGCCCTTTATTCCGCATTATATAACACATAAAACATAATGTACGACCTCCGCTCCGACAGATCGTCTGTTTTGCATCTGTTTACGGTTTATTTTTTTGTTTTTATTGATTGACATCGGCCGAAAAGCGAATTATTAAGTGGTGATCCCTCGCAGCGGTATTGAATTGCAACCGGGAGGGTACGAAACCGATCCAAAATAAAGACACCGCGACGATATGCCGTGTGGATACGGTTCATTGATTTGCGGGGCACGTTTTATTTTTATTTTATTTTTTTCGGCTCGACCTACACTTGAACGAGTACCTATATATACCTATGTATATATTTGGGGATCGGCATATACTGCATGCTTTACGAACAGCTCGTGTGTGACTAATGATTTCAGGGGCTTTCCTTCCGCGCTCCCATCATAATACACCTGATCATTGTCAACCCCTCGTCGAATTTGGTTTGACCTTTGCGATTTATTGTTAAATTATTTTATTATATTTTTCCTATCTGACAATTTTTTTGAATATAGGCTTGTATTTATACGTTTGATTACGTCCACATGTCCGTCATTATAATTATATACTCGCGCAAAATAAATGCGTAATACTCGACGCGACCTATCCGTATTGCTTTCACTCCGTCTAGACCGTTTTGAAAATCGATTATCGCGGACGTATAGTGCGCTAGGCACTATAGAAATCAGATTTTAACGTATGGTATTTTTTTCTTGCGGTTTTAGAAACGAAATCCGTTTAGCGAACGACACGAGAATATTAATTAACAACGCTGTGTATCAAGTCCTGTTTTGTCTTATTTGGTGAATTCCGGTCGGTAAAAATTAATAGCCGCCGGACTGAAGCGGAAAAAAATAGTGGTCGATGTTATAGCGGGTGCCGTTTTTGTACAACTATCAATAGTTTTTTCCATGCTCTCCGTATGCACTAGATTCTGGGTATTTAGTACGTATAGGTAGATACACAATATGATAAATAAACTGCAATTCTGCAGTACATTATGCTTTACATGCACCGCGCGTCTCATCCACGGAACCTCGATGTCACTGCGCCAAAATTGCGCCTTTCGCATTCCACCTCAGTGGTGTATTCCGCGGTTTTAATTTGAAAATGTCATTTCCTGCGTGTTCATGTATACGTTGTTAAAATTGTTAAAAATGTCTGATTTTATTTTTCTGTTCGGTCGGTCGTCCGATTTGAGTTCTTATATTGTCTCGTCTGTATAATATAGCGAACGTACCTATATAATACATATTATTATATACTTATATAGTATAGGCTATAGCGACTCTTTTATTCCAACACCGTCGATTGTACTTTAGCCTATAGTATCGAGACTTTCGATTTACTGTTTTACGTGCGCGAAATACGAGGACGGTGGCGACCGCAGTCGTATTATAGGTAGCATATTATAGAAAGAAAAAAAATTGGAAAACCGAAAAGTGTCATATTATTATATTATTATACGCATACTACGAGACCCGCGCACGCGCACTCGCGTCCACCTCGAGTTCTCCCACGTCCATACATTATACGTGTCCCATTATATCAAATGTATATATATATAATAAAATATTATCCTTTTGTGGGCATCGCGTATTATAATATACTATACACGCGTCGCAGTCACTGTGAAAAGGACACGCGGGAACCGATGGCCGGAAGCAATACGTCTATATAATATTATGTATTAATAGGATATTATTATTTATTATACACAGGTGCCTCCCGTGTCCGTCGGACGCATATCGCCGTATATTACTGTATTCCGATAAAACTGTATATAATATATATATATATGTATATATAAGTATTATACTCACGCCGAGGCGCCGGGCGCAACGATGACGATGACGACGTCGACGACGACAACGACACCGAAGACAGTCGCGTTATTATTATTGTCGTCGCGGTTTATTATAATATATTTATAGCGTAGTCTCCTATATACAGCGATATATATTTATACATCGCGTTATTATTGTGGGTGTCCTAGACATTGTATTAAACCGAACATATACGTGTGTGTTCATATTATTATTATATCGGTATGTCTCTCCGGGCCGATCAACGCCCCATCATTACATTCGTTGTAAACAATATTCCTGGTTTTTCAATCGGTCGTGTATTTCATTACGTAGGTACGGACTTGACCGGCTGTCGACGACAATTATTATTAGGCCAAAAGCCGAGACCGTTGACGTAAATATTTGAATTGATATTTTAAATATATTCGTTAGGTATCGGTGAAACATTTTTTTTTTTTTTTTAAACTTTCGCATTTACATACTATACTACAATATCTTACACTATTAGGGACGTAGATTAACTGAAGCGTTTGAGTGAACAAATAACTGTTGTTTTTTGCTTTTTTAACGTCACTACAATCAATTATGGCGTCTGCGCAGGTAAATAATCGTATGCGTGTTATATTATGATTGCAGATTGAATGGTGACAATGGCCGATACGGGATTGTTGGCTGCACCGGCGGCGGCAGCAGCCCGGCATAGCAAAGTGCAAACGCCGCCGCTGGGCGTGTTCTCGTCGGCCGAAGACACGGATTCGGAAGCGGAAGCCGACCGGACCCGTGACGAGGAAGACGACGACGACGATCACCATCAACGCAAACACCAGCACCACCACCACCGTCTCCAACAGCAACAGCAGCAGCAACACCAACGCCGCCGTCAGCGTCAGCTGCAGCAGCACCACGCCCTGCAACAACAGCAGCCGGTTTGCCTGGCGGCCAGATCCAACGCGTCCGCCATCAACCACAACAACAACAACAACAACAACAACATCAACAACAATCACAGTACGCGGAACAAGCGGAAAAACTTTCAGCCGCGCAACATCAGCTACACGCAGGACACGGCCGAAGACGGCGGCGACGGCGGTGACGGGGCCGCCGGCGGAGACTCGGCCGCGGCCGGCGGCGACTCGACCGGGGCCGCGGTGCTCGATCTGAGCGCGTGCACCGGGTCCACCGTGGCCAAGCGGCCGCGCGTCGACGACGGTTCCGCGCCGATGGACCTCACGTGCGCCGTACCGCAGGCCCGGCCGCGGGCGCGGCGCCGTCGGAAGCGCCAGTCCACCGTCGCCGCGGCAGCGGCCGCCCCACGGTGTCCAGCATCTGCTAGCGGCTGCGGCCGCGGCCGCGGCCGGCCACACCAACACCACCAGCCGCACGACGCGACCGATATAAAGGAGTACGCTCAGAACACGGTCCGCGAGCTGCTGGAAATCTATGGGCTCAACACGGACGTGGCCGACGCCATCACCAACAACGTGCCGATGGTTAACTTCTCCACCGGTAAGTCCTATAATACGTAGTTACCGTGCTTATAAACGCTCGTCGAATTCGATTTGAGTTAGTTTGTCGTAAATTATAATCAGACATTATTAAAAGGCACGTTAGACCACTCCAACCGGCAACAAAAATAGTTGATAATAATAATAGCCGAACACTCGAAAGTGTCACTCGTTAAAAGTTTTGAGCTGAAATAAAAGTAAGGAGAAATATCTGAGAATACCATAGGTCAAATAATGTTTTAAAACCATTTAACTTGTACACCTATATTTTATCGGTGTGTTAAACATTAAATCGTCTAAAAGTGAACAGAAAGAGTAGCTATCGATGATAGGTTAAGAATTAATCACAAAAATAACAGTAACATTTGAACTCGATTTCGATTTCTAATTTATTTAAACTCACGATTGCGCGTCAAACATCGCGGCGAATCATGGGTGTTTACTATATTATAATATAATGCGTAGCAAATCGTCGAAGAGAGATATTGTACTACGACCCAACCGATAGTTTGTGGGTAACTTTTAAACGGTGTAAATCGAAAGTCAATAAAGTCTAATCGGCGTATAAAGCACTTGACAGTATGTGCGGTGTGCTTATACGATATACGTACTATTCTGGCGATCCTAACGAGGAGATGTTTACATAATGCGTGCGGTAGCCACGAACACGTTGGCCTGCGGACGTTTCGAATATTGAATTCGTGTCCAAACCGAACACGCGATCGATTATTAATAGCAGTGTATATTGTGTACGTATAATATATTGTACATAATATGTGTGTGTGTGTGTGTTTGTTTATATGGATGTGCAGAATACTCCCGAAAAATGATTATGTATAAAGGTTGGACGAAAGAAGAGGTTGTTACGATAATATAATGTAAATCCGAACGCTTTGACGCAACCATCCGTATTTAGGTATGTATCGCGGTTTCAATTACACGAAAACGTGTTTCCAGGCAGAGTGGTCGCTCGATCAAGCGAGATGAATTGATTAATGTATATACATATAAAAAAAAATAAAACAATAATTAAAACGTCTCGTGGGGCCGGCCGATGTGCGCGCTCGCAACGGCTTAATATATATAATAAGTAATAACAATAATACTATGGACAGAACACGTTGCGAGTTAGGACCAGTTGGGAAAAAATATATTGAAAAATTGCAACTCATTCGGACCAATTACTTATACGGGATAATTATCGTTTTTATAAAGTTTATAATATCATTTAATTACTTGTTAATTATTTTGTTATTAGGTATAGATAATCCTAGTTATAAATTATAAGACGTATTGACATAAACTTACAAATTAGTGTATCAGAATTCGAAGGCATAACAACGTTATAATAAAAAACAATACGCTTCGTAATTATCTGGATGAATATTTTCTATTTTTTTTTTTTTTTTATTATACTCATGAGGCGGTATGCGCGTGTACCATTATCTAAAAAACAAAAATGTCTTATTTTTGGAGCCATGAAAAATAAAAATTTCACTCTATACCCGATCATGCTAATTTTTATCAGGTTATAATAAATTTTCGTTCATTTACTTTTTAATCGATCCAAACACGACTTGCTCAATAATATCCTATTCTAACAGATGGTACAAAATATAACGTCAGATGTCGACATTTTCAACTAAATCCGTCTAAAACGAATATCTACGGATGGCACACCCGTAGTGAACATCATACTGTGTACTTGTATAATATATACATATTTCCTATTGTAGGTACATACAGATATATGATGTATTGTATACGAATTATCGCGTACTTACGCGAGGCGTTTGATGCACAGACGAAGAGGAATAGGTATTCGTGCGTATTGTATCGTCCTTGATGAATAATCTACTCTGCGGGTACCTATAGATCTACGACGTCTAAATTTCAAATCATTTCGTTCGGTAATTTTTTCACATTTCTTTTGGTTAATATTTATTTTTTTATTATTCTTATTATTCCATCGTCGGACTTGTTCACATACTGCCACCGCCGCTGCTCTACACATCATCATCATCATACACACACACACACATATACTCGCTCGCTCGCTCGCGCCCGTGTTGTAGTCGTGGCACCTGTAAATTTTGTAAGAATGTGTCGACTCACCTCAGCAATCATTATCCTCATCTCAGTCGTGGGAACGATTAATCAAACCTTCCTCCCCTTCCCCACTTACGCCCATCCACGTTTTGAATCAGTTTTTATACACTCGTTCGTACTGGCTTGGTATATACATTACGCCCGATGACTTATACGCGAGCGGCGTTTTATGGAGATTTTTCTTTCTATATTTCGAATGACGCGTAATTAACAACGATATATCGTAGGTATATACACGACATTATATACACTATATTATTCTGTATAAATACGTTTCGAACTGGCACCTAACATCATGCAGCATTCAGACGTCGATGATGTGGATTTCGGAAGACACTGCAAGTACGTGAAGAAAAATACACGATTCCAAACCATATATCGTTTGTTATAATACTTACACGAGTATTATAGGTATATTGTTGTTTTGGGAACCGAACGCATTATCGTTACTCGTCACCGCACACACCTATATAGTATAATATGTATTATACATGCATACACGACTAATGTACGAATTTTATTGGTCATTAAAGATTCGCAGAAGGGAAAAAGAGCTGTATTATAAGCCTGTGGAGTTTTTAACGGAAACAAAAAAATAAAATAAAACATAAGTCTAGTGAGACTTTATTTTAATGAAAAATAAAACGAGCGTTATACGCACACACGCGCACATACACAGGGTTGTAAAAACCGTCTGTCTTTGGGAGACGGCGGCGGCGGCAAACTCGTTCATTTTTTTTTTTTTTTTGTTTTTTATGGTCATAATATTCTTTTTTTAGGCCGATACAAATCGTATGCTAACATCTGCAATAAATTATGGCCAATGTGTGCGCGCTGGCCTTAAAAACATGGAAAAAAACCAAGAAAATATTCCTATAGTGTTGGCGCGGCAATAGCGGCGACGGTGGTGGTGGCTGGTGTAGTGGTGTCGGTGGTAACATTGAAACGGGTCGAAGGGAAAAAATTTGCCGCAAAACCGTCTTGAAGGAACCGCCCGGCCATGTTGGCCCCGTTTTTATGACGCGATACGCGAAACTTTTACGATAGCTTTAACTGTCCCAGACGGACGGACGCGTTTTTCTATTATATTCCGGGGTGCGTTTTATTGACTATATTTTCTTCGTCGTTTTCCCTTCCCGCCACACGCCGTCGCTCTCCCACTCACTCGATCAATCTCTCTCTTACTCACTTTATCACTCTCTCTCTCTCTTTCTCACTCTCTCTCTACCTCTACAATACCTCGGCGGCTCTCTGTCTATTGCCCCGCACCTCTACTGCACTGTCCCTGTTGTACGATTTTTAATTGTTCGAAAAATATCGTTATACGTATACGAACCACCACCCGAACGATTTTTTTGTTTCCCTGCAGCACACCCCATTGCTGTTGGTTTTATCGTCACCCATTGTCGGGGAAACGAGTCGTTTTCATAAAAAATAAATAAAAAAACAATAAAAATCGTCTCCGATCAACGTCTGATCGCGTACCGACTGCGTAAAAAAACATATTATGTACATAATAATATTATATCATCTACTTATGTATGGGTTGTATCTACATTGTACAAATGGATATGCACGTAAAAATGTAATTATAACGTTATTATGACTCACGCCATTAGCATTTCGATATTTCACCATACCTGTGGTAAAAGCAAAATAAAACGAACAAATACGACACACGTAGAAGTATATTTGAGTGACTAGCCAATACAAGAGCGCGCGACAGGATTAACCTATTTAATAATATGCATACAAATTACAAATGCGCTTTAACATAACATTATATTTATACATACGATAACATTTTTTTTTTTAATAATATATGTTATTTAGCATAAACTTCTCTGTAAATATGCCATTGTAGTGTGTCAAACGTATTCTAATCTCTGGCAAATAATTTATATCGACTTTTACCTATAAATATAACAATATATAATATATTACGAGTACTATATTATGATGCATATACAAAACAAATGGGTGTCTTGGAATGAATAGAGTTTTGCGTGAATTTCTATGCATTCGAGTGTTTTAGTGTCAATATCGCTCTGACTGCAGCAATAATATAATACACGCGTCGACTTTACACTGCAGACGAAACGCTGCATAATGTTATATTTGAGTATTACAAAATTCACACCAAACTACGTTTCGTGTCGTGCACATATAATATTATATATCGTCTATATAATTTTGAAGTAGCCACATGTTATTACATATTATTGGTTTGTCAAGTCAGCGAATTCCCTGCGTGTATACACATACAAATACATCACACGATAGGTTAGGTTAAGTTACGTATACTTATATTTATATATAGGATATATAATATAAAACCGTCCGCCGCCGCCCTGATGACCCTTCTTGACGAGTGCAATTGAAATGCTGCAATTTTGCGCACCGCTCGTGACGTGTTGTACTGTGTCGGGTAGGGACGGCACGGAAATGGTAATCGGATTTTCTTCGAGTGGAAAACACGCTTTATACGGTTTCGCCAATGCGGGTTTTTATTTTGCAGCCAATGGCAAATTTCACCCCAATGTCTTTTGGGACAATTTTTTTCCTCGCATTTTCTATTTCCTATTACTGTATTATTTACTTATTTATTTCGTTTTTGATTTTCATTTTATTATTATTATTAATATATTATTACTATTTTCCTACGTTGAAAGGTTTCGGAAACCTTCCGACGGCGCGCGACGGCGACGGCGGTTCGCGTGTATCGCGTCCGGCCCCAGTAGGATTTTATATAACACACGCGCGTAAACCGAACCTTATCGCATTATCACGCCCGCGGTCTGCACATAACAACACATGTAATATATTTATTATTATTATTATTATTATGTCGCACATTTATTTCGTCGGTGCTTAGAATAACGCCCGGGGCGT